GCCCCTGCTCCGGAGAATTCCAGGTGTTCCCTGGGCACCGGGCTGGAAAAGGGTCGGGAAGGGGCCAGGCAGGATCTGGGGGAAATCCAGGAAAGATCTGGTAGGAACTGGGCAGGGCCTGGGACAGGATTTGGTCAGGATTTGGGAAAGATCCAGGCAGGGTTTGGGCAGAATTTTTGAAAGATCCGGGCAGGATTTGGTCAGGATTTGGGAAAGATCCAGGCAGGATTTGGGGCAGGATTTGGTCAGGATTTGGGGCCGGATTTGGTCAGGATTTGGGGCAGGATTTGGGGCAGGATTTGGTCGGGATTTGGGGCCAGACCCAGAGGAGATCCAGGCAGGATTTGGGGCAGGATTTGGTCAGGATTTGGTCAGGATTTGGGGCAGGATTTGGGGCAGGATTTGGGGCAGGATTTGGGGCAGGATTTGGGACGGATCCAGGCAGGATTTGGGGCAGGACCCAGAGGAGATCCAGGCAGGATTTGGGACAGGATTTGTTCAGGATTTGGGGCAGGATTTGGTCAGGATTTGGGGCAGGACCCAGAGGAGATCCAGGCAGGATTTGGGGCAGGATTTGGGGCAGGATTTGGGGCAGGATTTGGGGCAGGACCCAGAGGAGATCCAGGCAGGATTTGGGGCAGGATTTGGGGCAGGATTTGGGGCAGGATTTGGGGCAGGACCCAGAGGAGATCCAGGCAGGATTTGGGGCAGGACCCAGAGGAGATCCAGGCAGGATTTGGGGCAGGATTTGGGGCAGGATTTGGGGCAGATCCAGGCTGGATCTGGGATGGCCGTGCAGGGCTGGCCCGGGCTGTCCCCACACAGGTGACACAGAGGGGACAGAGCCCACGGCCCTTCACAGGCAGCCCCGCACTGCCCAGAGTGCCGGGAACACCGGGATAACCCCATCCAGCTGCTCCCATAAATCCTGAGATAACCCCATCCAGCTGTTCCCATAAATACCGGGATAACCCCATCCAATTGGGATAACCCCATCCAGCTGCCCCCATAAATCCCGGGAAAATCCCATCCAGCCACTTCCATAAATCCTGGGATAACCCCATCCAGCTGCCCCCCTAAATCCCGGGATAACCCCATCCAGCTGCACCCCTAAATCCCGGGATAACTCCATCCAGCCGCTCCCATAAATCCCGGGATAACCCCATCCACCTGGGATAATCCCATCCAGTTGCCCCCTAAATCCCGGGATAGCCCCATCCAGCTGCCCCCTAAATCCCGGGATAACCCCATCCTAAATCCCGGGATAACTCCATCCAGCCGGGATAACCCCATCCAGCTGCCCCCTAAATCCCGGGATAACCCCATCCAGTTGGGATAACCCCATCCAGCCACTTCCATAAATCCCGGGAAAACCCCATCCAGCTGCCCCCTAAATCCCAGGATAACCCCATCCAGCTGCACCCCACAAATCCCAGGATAACCCCATCCAGCTGCACCCCTAAATCCCGGGATAACCCCATCCAGTTGGGATAACCCCATCCAGCTGCCCCCTAAATCCCGAGATAACCCCATCCAGCTGCCCCATAAATCCCAGGATAACCCCCTAAATCCCGGGATAGCCCCATCCACTTGGGATAACCCCATCCAGCCACTTCCATAAATGCCAGGACAACCCCATCCAGCTGCCCCCTAAATCCCAGGAAAACCCCATCCAGTTGGGATAACCCCATCCCGCTGCCCCCTAAATCCCGGGATAACCCCATCCATCTACACCCCTAAATCCTGAGAAAACCCCATCCAGCTGCTCCCATAAATCCCGGGAAAACCCCATCCAGCCACTTCCATAAATCCCGGGATAACCTCATCCAGCTGCCCCCTAAATCCCGGGATAACCCCATCCAGCTGCCCCCATAAATCCCGGGATAACCCCATCCATCTGCCCCACTAAATCCCGGGAAAACCCCATCCAGCCGCTCCCATAAATCCCGGGATAACCTCATCCAGCTGCACCCATAAATCCCGGGATAACCCCATCCAGCTGCACCCCATAAATCCCAGGATAACCCCATCCAGTTGGGATAACCCCATCCAGCTGCCCCCTAAATCCCGGGATAACCCCATCCAGCTGCCCCATAAATCCCGGGATAACCCCATCCAGCTGCCCCCCTAAATCCCGGGATAACCCCATCCAGCTGCCCCATAAATCCCGGGATAACCCCATCCAGCTGCCCCCTAAATCCCGGGATAACCCCCTAAATCCCGGGATAACCCCCTAAATCCCTGGCTGCCGGGCTGGATTTTAGGAAGAGGATTTTCCCCGGGGATCCCCAGAGCTCCTGGTGGGATTTCGGGGTGTCCTCCCGGGTTTTTCCAGCTCGGGATTTCCGTAATCCCGGATTTTTTTGGGGGATTCTGCCCCAAAACGGGGAGGAGGGACCCGCCCAACCGTGGATTTGCTGCCACCTAGAGCGGGGCTGGAACCTCGGGAAATCCTGGAATTTTCGGGATGGAAAGCGGCTCTTCCCAAAAAAATTTGGGAATTCTGGCCGCCACCAAACTCTTGGCACAAGGGATGCTGTGCCCGTTCCAGGATTCCCCAGGAGAGGAAAATCCTGGAAATTCGGGAGGGAATTCGCCCAAAATTCTTCTCAGCATCACCCAGGGATGGCAGAAGTTAAAATAAAACACCCCAAAAGTTAAAAAACTAAAAAATCCACCCCAAAACACCACCAGGAACACGAGAAATCGGTACAGGCACGCAGAGAAATTGTGGGATATTCAAAATCCTCGGGAATATCCAAAATCCTGCTCGTGCAGGATTTAGGGTGAAGCTGGATGGGGTTATCCCGGGATTTAGGGGGGCAGCTGGATGGGGTTATCCTGGGATTTAGGGTGAAGCTGGATGGGATTATCCCAGGTGGACGGGGTTATCCCGGGATTTATGGGGCAGCTGGATGGGGTTATCCCAGGATTTAGGGTGGTGATGGATGGGGTTATCCCAGGTGGATGGGATTATCCCAGGATTTAGGGGAGCAGCTGGATGGGATTATCCCAGGATTTTATTTAGGGGTGCAGATTAATGGGGTTATATCAGGATTTATGGGGCAGCTGGATGGGGTTATCCCGGGATTTATGGGGCAGCTGGATGGGGTTATCCCGGGATTTAGGGTGGTGATGGATGGGATTATCCCAGGTGGACGGGGTTATCCCGGGATTTAGGGTGAAGCTGGATGGGGTTATCCCAGGATTTAAGGATGCAGATGGATGGTGTTATCCCAGGTGTATAGGGTTATCCCAGGATTTAGGGGTGTAGATGGATGGGGTTATCCCGGGATTTAGGGTGAAGCTGGATGGGGTTATCCCGGGATTTAGGGGTGCCGATGGATGGGATTATCCCAACTGGATGGGGTTATCCCGGGATTTAGGGTGCAGTTGGATGGGGTTATCCCAGGATTTAGGGTGGTGATGGATGGGGTTATCCCAGGTAGATGGGATTATCCCAGGATTTAGGGGAGCAGCTGGATGGGGTTATCCCAGGATTTTATTTAGGGGTGCAGATTAATGGGGTTATATCAGGATTTATGGGGCAGCTGGATGGGGTTATCCCGGGATTTAGGGTGGTGATGGATGGGGTTATCCCAGGATTTGATTTAGGGGTGCAGATTAATGGGGTTATCCCAGGATTTAGGGGGCAGCTGGATGAGGTTATCCCAGGATTTGGGGGTGCAGTTGGATGGGGTTATCCCGGGATTTATGGGGCAGCTGGATGGGGTTATCCCAGGATTTAAGGATGCAGATGGATGGGGTTATCCCAGGATTTAGGGCTCCGAGCTGTCCCGGGATCGGCCCGGATGAGCTCCAGCCTGATCGGGATCGAGCTCCTGGGATCGGGGAGCAGAGTGACAATGGAGCTGCCCCAAAGGGACACAAATCTTTAGGATCACGGAGAGGCGGTGACACTGAGGGGACACAAATCTTTGGGATCACGGAGCAAAGTGACAATAGAGCTGCATCAATGGGACACAAATCTTTAGGATCAGGGAGCAGCCCCAAACGAACACCAATCTAATTTATTGTTATTTATAATGCAATATAAATTATATACTAATAAATATAAATGTCTTATTTATTTTTCATTTATAAAAATTACATTAAAAAATAAATTAAAATAAATGTATGACATAAATACATAACATGTATTTATATATAAAATTCATTTATTTTGTCTTTATAAATTGTATTTATATGTAAAATGAATTTTTATATTAAAATTTATTTATATAAAATTACTCATTTTTATATTAAAATTTATTTATATAAAATTACTCATTTTTATATTAAAATTTATTTATATAAAATTACTCACTTTTATATTAAAATTTATATATATAAAATTATTTATTTTTAGAGATAAATTTTAATTATATATAAAATGAATTTCTAGATTGAATTTTATTTATACAAAGCAATTTTAACAATAAATCTGTTTATTACTTATAATGGAATATAAACGATATACAAATCTATAATTAAATATCTGTAGTAATATTAGTGGCAATTAACACCACAATGCCACACCCATGTTACCACCACGGCCAACAAATTTGCATTATCATGACTTATTCTAAATTACATCTAACGAAGCAACAAGAGTCCTAATGATTAATTATTTATGGCTGAATCCATCTCTGGGCTCCATTTTGAGGTGCCACCAGCCCAAGGCCAGCTGGGATGGCATGGGGACAGCAGGAGGTGGCCTGGGGACAGCGGGAGGTGGCCCAGGGACAGCGGGAGGTGGCCCAGGGACAGCAGGAGGTGGCCAGGGGACAGCGGGAGGTGGCCAGGGGACAGCGGGAGGTGGCCGGGGGACAGCAGGAGGTGGCCAGGGGACAGCGGGAGGTGGCCCAAGGCCAGCTGGGATGGCATGGGGACAGCAGGAGGTGGCCCGGGGACAGCAGGAGGTGGCCCAGGGACAGCAGGAGGTGGCCCTGCCCGCGGCACGGGTGGCACCGCGCCCTCGTTACGGTCCCTTCCACCCCAACCGTTCCAAGGTTCCGCCGCTCTGTGACATCAGCCCGGCCTGGTGGCACCGTGGGCACTGCCAGGGCCGTGGGTGGCACCAGAGGTGACAGCTCTGCTCCGCCTCTGCCACCTGCGCTGGCAGCAATGGCTTTGCTGAGACTGCTCGTCCTGCTGGCCCTCGTTGGGTCCGTGTGGGCCACCTGGGACACCTGCAGGTCAGTGCCCGGGGGGCTCGGGGACACTCGGGGGCTGCCCTGGCACAGCCTGGGCACAGAGGAGCCCCTCGGGGTCCCTGTCCCCGCTGTCCCCGAGCAGGGCAGTGATGGCTCTGTGCTTCCAGAGGCACCTGTGGCCTCCGGCCCATGGCCTTCGACCGCAGCTCTTCAGATCTCGACTACGACTCGGTGACTTCTGCCGCTGGCACGTCCCGTGTTGTGGCTGGCACGGGTGTCCAGCCAGGGGCCTGGCCCGGCATCGTCAGCATCCAGGCCACCTGGGAGAACGGCACGTGGCACATGTGCTCGGGTGTCCTCCTCAGCTCCCAGTGGGTGCTCACGGTCGCACACTGCTTCGCCAGGGCCGGGTAAGAAACGGCAGGGACAGAGATGTCCCCGGGGCTGGGGCAGGTGCCCAGCTCACAGCACCACGTGCCACTTCCCTGCCCGCCTTGGGAAGCAGAAGGCCGGGAAATGCTGGGCTGCTGCAGCCCGTGGCTCTGCTCCCTGTCACCCCTCTGCCATCTGCTCCCTGTCACCCCTCTGCCATCTGCTCCCTGTGTCCATCTGCTCCCTGTCACCCCTCTGCCATCTGCTCCCTGTCACCCCTCTGTCCATCTGCTCCCTGTCACCCCTCTGTCCATCTGCTCCCTGTCACCCCTCTGCCATCTGCTCCCTGTCACCCCTCTGCCATCTGCTCCCTGTCACCCCTCTGCCATCTGCTCCCTGTCACCCCTCTGTCCATCTGCTCCCTGTCACCCCTCTGTCCATCTGCTCCCTGTCACCCCTCTGCCCATCCGCTCCCTGTCACCCCTCTGCCCATCTGCTCCCTGTCACCCCTCTGCCATCTGCTCCCTGTCACCCCTCTGTCATCTGCTCCCTGTCACCCCTCTGTCCATCTGCTCCCTGTCACCCCTCTGCCATCTGCTCCCTGTCACCCCTCTGCCCATCCGCTCCCTGTCACCCCTCTGCCATCTGCTCCCTGTCACCCCTCTGCCATCTGCTCCCTGTCACCCCTCTGCCATCCCTGTCACCCCTCTGCCATCTGCTCCCTGTCACCCCTCTGTCCATCTGCTCCCTGTCACCCCTCTGCCCATCCGCTCCCTGTCACCCCTCTGCCCATCTGCTCCCTGTCACCCCTCTGCCATCTGCTCCCTGTCACCCCTCTGTCATCTGCTCCCTGTCACCCCTCTGTCCATCTGCTCCCTGTCACCCCTCTGTCCATCTGCTCCCTGTCACCCCTCTGCCATCTGCTCCCTGTCACCCCTCTGCCCATCCGCTCCCTGTCACCCCTCTGCCATCTGCTCCCTGTCACCCCTCTGTCCATCTGCTCCCTGTCACCCCTCTGTCATCTGCTCCCTGTCACCCCTCTGCCATCTGCTCCCTGTCACCCCTCTGCCATCTGCTCCCCAGGGGCATCTCCATGTGGGAAGTGGTGATCGGGGCCTCGGATCTGAGCCAGCCGGGCCCCGAGGCCGCAGTGAGACACATCCAGAGGCTCCTGGTGCACCAGCACTACGTGCCTGCCACGGCCAGGAACGACATCGCCCTGGTGGAGCTGGACCGGCCCGTGGAGTGCAGCGACTACATCCAGCTGGGCTGCGTGCCCGACGCCTCCATCAGGGTCTCGGAGCTGAAATCCTGCTACATCGCCGGCTGGAACTTTGTCAGAGGTGAGCTCCCAACGGGATGTGTGCTTGAGGGTGAGCTGGGCACCCCGGGGACACAGACTGGGCACCCCGGGGACACAGACTGGGCACAGACAGGGACACGGACTGGGCACAGACAGGGACACAGACTGGGCACCCCGGGGACACGGACTGGGCACAGACAGGGACACAGACTGGGCACCCCGGGGACACAGACAGGGACACAGACTGGGCACAGACAGGGACACAGACTGGGCACAGACAGGGACACAGACTGGGCACCCCGGGGACACGGACTGGGCACAGACAGGGACACAGACTGGGCACCCCGGGGACACGGACTGGGCACCCCGGGGACACAGACTGGGCACCCCGGGGACACGGACTGGGCACAGACAGGGACACAGACTGGGCACAGACAGGGACACAGACTGGGCACAGACAGGGACACAGACTGGGCACAGACAAGGACATGGACTGGGCACAGACAGGGACACGGACTGGGCACAGACAGGGACATGGGAGAGATGGATCTGGCTCCTCCCCCTGCCAACAGCAGAGACACATCTGGGCAGCATCGCTGCGTGGGGAAGGGGCAGGGACACAGCTGGGTGGGGAAGGGGCAGGGACAGGCCCGGGAAGGGGAGGGGATGGGTACTGAGCTGCTGGCCACTCATTCCCACGGTTCTGGGATCAGGTATGGTTCTGCGGGAGTCCAAGGTCCACCTCATCCAGACGGAGATCTGCAACAGCAGCCGCTGGTACAGGGGGGCCGTTCATGCTGACAACCTGTGTGCTGGGTACCCGCAGGGCGGCATCGACACCTGCCAGGTAGGAGTGCCCCACACACAGCCCGGTCTGTGCCCTCTCCACCCCTCCCCTCCCATCCCCTCCCGGGAGAGGAGCCAGCCCAGGGCTGGGGGAGAGGAGCCAGCCCCGGGACTGGGGGAGAGGAGCCAGCCCCGGGACTGGGGGAGAGGAGCCAGTCTGGGACTGGGGAGAGGAGCCAGCCCCGGGACTGGGGGAGAGGAGCCAGCCCCGGGACTGGGGGAGAGGAGCCAGCCCCGGGACTGGGGAGAGGAGCCAGCCCAGGTCTGTCAGCAGTCCCCCACAGTCCCTGAGCCATCTCTCCTGGCACAGGGGGACAGCGGGAATCCCCTCGTCTGTAAGAGCAGTGGAGCTGACTACTTCTGGCTGGTGGGATTGAACAGCTGGGGAAGAGGCTGTGACAGAGCCAGGCACCCTGCGATCTACACCTCCACTCAGCACTTCTACAACTGGGTCCTCATCCAGACGGGCCTGAGCCCGGCTGACATAACGGGTTCGGCACCGCAGCCGAACTGCGCCGCGACTCCTAAGCCCGAGGTCAGCACGACTTCGGCACAGACCCCGACACCAGAGCCAGAACAACAGCCGGAGACAAAGCCAACACCAGTGCCAGGGCCAGTGCCAGAGCTGGTGCCAGGGCCAGAGATGATGCCAGAGATGGTGCCAGTGCCAGAGATGACGCCAGAGCCAACTCCAGAGCCGGAGCCGGTAACGAAACCAACGCCAGAGCCGACGTCAGTGCCACAGCCAAGCCCAGAGCCGGTGCCAGTGCCAGAACCAACGCCAGTGCCAGTGCCAGAGCCAACGACAGAACCGACGACAGAGCCAACACCAGAGCCAACACCAGTGCCAATGCCGGAGCCGACGCTAGTGCCGACACCAGTGCCAGAGCCGGTGCCAGAGCCGGTGCCAGAGCCGGTGCCAGAGCCAGCACCCGAGCCAGCCATCCCCCCGGGGCCCGAGCAGCCGGTGCCAACCCCGACACCGGCACCGGACCGGGTTCTGGTGATCTCGGTGCCGTACCGGAGCCTGGTGCGGTTCTGTAACCTGCTCCGGGATTTCCTACGGTTCCTGCGGGACCAGCTGGGCTGACCCGGCCGCAGCTCCGGCCGCAGAACGCGGCCCCGGCCCGTTCCGTCCCGGTCCATCGGCCCGTTCCGTCCCGGTCCATCGCCCCGCGGGGCCCGGCGGCCGCAGCCCCGGGGCCGCCCCGTCCCCGCCGCCCTCCCCGCCGCCCCCGAGCCGCGTTCCGTTCGCTGCTGCAATAAAAACGCTGTTGGTGCTCCCAGCACCGCGGGCTCTGCGCCCTTCTGCCGCGGGCAGGGCCGGGAGGGGCGGCGGGACAACGAGCGGGGCTGGCCCGGGACGGGAGGAGACCGGGGGGAGCCGGGCCGGAGTGGGAAAGCGCTTTAATAACGGGGCGGAGTGGGAAAAGCGCTTTAATAACGGGCCGGAGTGGGAAAAGAGCTTTAATAACGGGGCGGAGTGGGAACAGAGCTTTAATAACGGGGCGGAGTGGGAACAGAGCAGCCCGGAGCCCCGAGGGATGCGCAGGTGCGGGAGGTGCCACCCTGAGCTGCTGCGGCCACCCAGGGGTGTCCCCTCTGTCACCAGCTCGTGTCTCTGAGGCTGCCGGGACCCCGATCCCGCTGTCCCCGCTGTGCCCTGGGTGCCAGGTGGGATCCCCGGATCCGGGACATTCCCTCTGCTCCAGCGGGGTCGCGGCTCCCAGGAGCTGTCCTGGCTCTGGGGAAGGGGCTGGAGCGTGGGGACCCTCCTGGAATGGGTCAGGGATCTTGGAACGGGTCAGGGATCCCGGAACGGGTCAGGGATCCTGGAACGTGTCAGGGATCCTGGAAGGGGTCACGGATTCTGGAACGGGTCAGGATCCTCCTGGAACGGGTCAGGATCCTCCTGGAACGGGTCAGAATCCTCCTGGAACGGGTCAGGGATCCCGGAATGGGTCAGGGATCCTGGAACGGGTCAGGGATCCCGGATTCCGCGATCCAGCAGTGTCTGGAGGAGGTTTGGGGACCTGCCGCGGTGGCACCGGGGCTCAGCGGGGCTGCGGGCCCCAGGCTGGCAGCGGGGCGAGCCCGGGGGGCAGCAGGGCGAAGGGGGGGCTCTGCAGGGGCTGCCAGGGCGCTGGAGCGGGGGTCCCGCCGGGAGCCAGAGCTGCGGGATGGACACGGGGCTCAGGCATGGCCCGCCGGGCCCTGGGAGGGGACACCCAGGGACCCCCAGCCCCGAAGCGCGGGGGTCCCTCACCGCAGCAGGCGTCGTCCCAGGGGCAGGGCCCGGAGGCGCAGAGGTGCAGCGGGGCCGGGGGGCGCGGGTGGGCGGCGAGGCCGTGCGTGGGGACCGAGAGCGCCGTGTCCCGGGTGTCCCTGGGCTGTTCCGGACCGGGGGCACCGGCGAGGGTCGGGACGCTCCGGACAGGGCTCCCCACGGGAACGCGGGCTCCAGAGGGTGCCCGAGCTCCTTGGGGTGCCCCCAGCACCCCGGGGCGGCCGTGTCCTACCCGTGCGGCGGCTGCGGCGGCGGGACCGACAGCGGGCGGGATCCAGTCGCACCAGGAGCCTGCGGGGCACGGGCGGGGACAATGTCCTGGCTCAGCCCCGGTGTCCCAGCGCCAAACGCCAGCCGCGCTCCCTCCCGAGGGCACCCCTGGGTGCCACGTCCCGTCCCCTCGGTGGCCGGGCTGTCACCTGCGCCGCCAGCCTGCAGCTGCCGCTCGCTCTCCCGGCGCCACTTGGCTCGGCGGTTCGAGAACCAGACCTGCGGAGGGGCGGGAGCTGAGGCTGCCCCCGCCCGGACCAGCCCTGCGGCCCCCGGCGCAGCTCCGAGCCCCGGGGCACGGCTGGGACACGGGCAGAGAAGGGGGCTCGATCCCGGGCACGGGCACGGGCGTGGGCAGAGAAAAGGGTTTGGTTCTGGGCATGGACAGGGACAAGGGGTTCCATGCCGGGCACGGGCACGGTCCTGGGCAGAGGAATCTTTGATCCCGCATCTTCCCCACCTCACGGCCTGGGAGCGCTCGCCGGGCTCCGGGCGTGTCCCCGCACAGGACACGGGACCCTCGGGGCGCTCCCGTGTGCGCTCTGCCGTGCCGCGGGGTGCCCAGGCAGCGCTGCCCTGGCACGGGGGATCGCTGCTGGCACTGCCTGGACACCAGAGGCTCGGCAGGGGCACAGGGACGGGGGTCTGGAGCTGCTGCGAGGGACGTGTGAGGGGCGTGTGCCGGGGAGTGTGCCAGGGAGTGTGCCAGGACTGTGCCGGGTGTGCCATGGAGGGAGAGCCCCGAGCCCGGACAAACCCAGCCCTGGGGAGCCACTGCCACCACCCGGAGCCCGTCCCCATCCCCGCGGCCGCCAGCAGCGCTGCCACGCTTTGGAGGTGTCCCCGAGGGCTCGCTGTCCCCCTGGCCCGGCGGCCCCGATCCCGTTCGGGGTGAGGGGGTCCCCCCTTACCCTGATGGTGCTGGCGGGGAGCTGCGTGGCCGCGGCCAGGCTCTGCCGGGTGGCGCTGTCCGGGTACTGTCCCCTGCGGAACTCTGCAAGGGGCACCGGCCGAGCTGGCTCCGGTCCGGGCGGGTCGGGGCAGCCACCCCCGGCACCCGGGCAGGAGATGCCAGGACGTGTCTGCAGCCAGGCCGCGGGGCAGCGAACTGGGGTGCTCTGGGGTGGTTTGGGGTGCTCTGGGGCGTTCTGGGGTGGTTTGGGGCAGTCTGGGGTGTTCTGGGGTGGTTTGGGGTGCTCTGGATTGGTTTGGGGAAGTCTGAGGTGGTTTGGGGTGCTCTGGGGTGTTCTGGGGTGGTTTGGGGTGCTCTGGGGTGGTTTGGGACTCTGTGGGGTGGGTTTGGGGTGGTTTGGGGTGTTCTGGGGTGGTTTGGGGCAGTCGGGGGTGGTTTGGGGTGCTCTGGGGTGGTTTGGGACTCTGTGGGGTGGTTTGGGGTGCTCTGGGGTGTTCTGGGGTGTTCTGGGGTGGTTTGGAGTGCTCTGGGGTGCTCTGGGGTGGTTTGGGGTTCTCTAGGGTGGTTTGGGGTGCTCTGGGGTGGTTTGGGACTCTGTGGGGTGGTTTGGGGTGCTCTGGGATTGGTTTGGGACTCTGTGGGGTGGGTTTGGGGTGGTTTGGGGTGTTCTGGGGTGGTTTGGGGCAGTCTGGGGTGGTTTGGGGTGCTCTGGGGTGTTCTGGGGTGTTCTGGGGTGGTTTGGAGTGCTCTGGGGTGCTCTGGGGTGGTTTGGGGTTCTCTAGGGTGGTTTGGGGTGCTCTGGAGTGGTTTGGGGTGCTCTGGGGCGGTGTGGGGCGCTCTGGGGTGGTTTGGGACTCTGTGGGGTGGTTTGGGGTGCTCTGGGGCGGTTTGGGGCACTCTGGGGTGATTTGGGGTTCTCCGAGACGGTTTGGGGCACTCTGGGGTGATTTGGGGCTCTCCGGGGCGGTGTGGGTCGCTCTGGGGCGGTTTGGGACTCTGTGGGGTGGTTTGGGGTGCTCTGGAGTGGTTTGGGGTGCTCTGGGGCGGTGTGGGGCGCTCTGGGGTGGTTTGGGACTCTGTGGGGTGGTTTGGGGTGCTCTGGGGCGGTGTGGGTCGCTCTGGGGCGGTTTGGGGCGCTCTGGGGCGGTGTGGGTCGCTCCGGGGCGGTGTGGGTCGCTCCGGGATGGTGTGGGTCGCTCTGGGGCGGTTTGGGACTCTGTGGGGTGATTTGGGGCTCTCCGGGGCAGTGTGGGGCGCTCTGGGGCGGTTTGGGACTTTGTGGGGTGGTTTGGGGTGCTCTGGGGAGGTGTGGGGTGCTGTGGGGCGTTTTGGGGCACTCTGGGGTGATTTGGGGCCCTCCGGGGCTGTGTGGGGCGCTCCGGGGCGGTTTGGGGCCCCGCAGCGATGGCCCGGAGGGGCAGAGCCCATCCTGAAAGCCCCAGTGCCCGGAATCCCGGGGCATTCCCCCGGGAGCAGCCCCGCTCCGTCCCGCCCGGGGCCGGCATCCCGCGGGGAGCGCACCTTCCTCCAGAGCCGCCGCCTGCCGCCCGGTGAGCGCGGTCCGGTTCCTGCCGCGCCCGGGGCCCGCCCGGCCCGCAGCGCTGCCCGGGGCCGCGGGGGCCGCTGCGAGAACGGCAGGACAGGCGCTGGGGGCGGCCCCGGTGCCGGCGGCGCCCCGGAGGGGCCGGGAAGGGCCAGGAGGGGTCCGGGCTCCGGGACCGGGCTCACCCCCTGGCCGCGGGGCCCGAGGCTCGGCCGCCAGCCGGAGGTCGCTGGGCAGCGTCCGGAGCACGCGGTTGATGGAGGAGACCTGCGCAGGGCAAAGGGGATGTGCCGGGAGGGGACGGGACCCCCGGGGGTGCGGGGGGCAGCAATGGAGGTGCAGCTGTCCCTGCGGTGCTCTCCGGAGCCAGGGATGCTCCAGCCCGGGGCCGAGCCCGTCTGCTCCCCGTCTGTGATCCGGGACCCCGGAATCCCGGGGCATGGCAGGGTGGGAAGCACAGCTGTCCCCGCCCAAGGGACGCTTGTCACGGAGCCACCGCGGTGGCCCGAGGAGGCAGCCGGGCTCGGGGCTCCGCTTCCACTGGGAAGGAGCGATCTGCCTTCCCCTCCCAGCCGCTCCAGGTCCGCCTCTCACCAAGCACCGAGCCCTTCCCCGCGGATCCTTCCCGTTCCCGAGTCCTTCCCACGGAGTTGTACCCTTCCCATCACTCCGAGCCCTTCCCGGGCACCATTCCCACTGTCCCGAGCCCTTCCCGGGCTGTGCACCATTCCCACTGTCCCGAGCCCTTCCCGGGCACCATTCCCACTGTCCCGAGCCCTTCCCGGGACACCATTCCCACTGTCCCGGGGCACCATTCCCACTGTCCCGAGCCCTTCCCAGGGACCATTCCCACTGTCCCGAGCCCTTCCCGGGCTGTGCACCATTCCCACTGTCCCGGGCCCTTCCCGGACACCATTCCCACTGTCCCGGGGCACCATTCCCACTGTCCCGAGCCCTTCCCGGGGCACCATTCCCACTGTCCCGAGCCCTTCCCGGGCTGTGCACCATTCCCACTGTCCCGAGTCCTTCCTGGGACACCATTTCCACTATCCCGAGCCCTTCCCGGGCACCATTCCCACTGTCCCAGGCCATTCCCGGGCACCATTCCCACTGTCCCAGGCCATTCCCGGGCACCATTCCCACTGTCCCAGGCCATTCCCGGGCACCATTCCCACTGTCCCGGGACCAATCCCACTGTCCCGAGCCCTTCCCGGGCACCATTCCTACTGTCCCGAGCCCTTCCCGGGCACCATTCCCACTGTCCCGGGACCATTCCCACTGTCCCGAGCCCTTCCCGGGCTGTGCACAATTCCCGCTGTCCCGAGCCCTTCCCGGGCACCATTCCCACTGTCCCGGGCTGTGCACCATTCCCATTGTCCCAGGCCATTCCCGGGGCACCATTCCCCCCTCCCGCCCCCCTCCGGCCCCCGGCCGTGGGTCGGGACCCCCTGCCCCGCCCGGCCCCGGGGATTCCCGCAGCCCCGGGGCTCCGCGGAGGACTCACGCTGGGGATGGCGCTGCCGGCGCAGATTCCCTCGGCCTGCAGCTGCCGGCGGATCTCCCAGGCGAAGAGCCCGGGCTGCTCCAGCTTCAGCCGCGCGATCCTGGCCACCACGGCCGGGGTGGCCGTGCGGGGCTTGCTGCCCCCCGCAGCCCGGGGCCCCACGGCCCCCGTCCGGTAGTAGCGGCCCAGGATTTTGCTGACGCAGCCGTTGGAGACCTGCGGGCGGAACTTCAGCGCGGGGAGGATCGGGGAGGGGAAGGGGACCCCAGCCCCGGGCCGGGCGCACCTTGAGGCTGCGGGAGATGTCGGAGCTGCGGGCGCCGCTCGCCGCCAGCGCGATGATTCTCTGCCTCTTGCACGTGGGGAGGGGGCGGCCGTTCAGGAAGAGCCCCCCGAGCTGGTTCACCCCGCTGGGCCCTGGGGAGAGGGCCAGGGCTGGGCTGCGGGGCTGCGGGGCTGCGGGGCACCGGGGCACCGGGGCTGCGGGGCTCCGGGGCTGCGGGGCTCCGGGGCTGCGGGGCTGCGGGGCTGCGGGGCTGCGGGGCTGCGGGGCTGTGGGGCTGTGGGGCTGCGGGGCTCCGGGGCTGCGGGGCTGCGGGGCTGTGGGGCTGCGGGGCTCCGGGGCTGCCGGTCCTGCCCTCCCGCCTCCCCAGGATGAAGAGGACAGGCCGGGACCGGTGGAGCTGAGGGGGTCTGGAGGGGCTGGGCAGGGGGAGCTGCGGTTTGGAGGGACGGGGGCGCGATGCTGGGGGTGGGTGCAGGCAGGGAATGGGACCGCCGGCCCCGGGAAGCAGGAAAAACACCCCCTGGAAGGGCACGGGGCCAATTTGGGAAGGGCAGGGGGGTGACAGGCTGCGGGGCTGGATGTCCCCGGGGGCCGGGACAGCCGCAGAGAGGGCCCGGCGGAGCCGCGGGTGAATCGGTGCCCGGGAGGACGCCCTTGTGCCGGAGCAGGGGATGGTGACCCGGCACATCCCCGAGTCCCACCGGAAACACCGGGACCCCGCGCCCGGAGCCGCCGCGTTCCTCACCTCGGTGTTGCATCGTGGAGAGGCTTCAGGGGACTGTGGGTGCCTGGGAATTCCCAGTGGGACACGGGGAAAAGTGCAGGGCCGGATAAATCAGCACCGGTGTCCAGGGCTCAGCCACCACCCTGCTGCGAGGAGGAGGGACGAGAGCAGGAGTGTCGGAACAGAGGATGGAAACACTCGAGGGCAGCTTGGGAAGTCCCTGTGCTCCAGGCACAGCGGATAAAGAGCAGGAAAAGAGGTCACAGGGCTCTGGAGAGGCTCGGGAGACACCGGGAATGCTGCCGGTGCTGCCCGCACCACCGGCACGGAACGGAGCCAACGTGGCTGAGCCGCGTCCCAGCGCCCGCAGAGCTCCCGGGACACCCCTCGGGGGGCAGGAGGGTCCCCACGCCCACCCCACCCCAGCGGAGTGCCGGGATCCACGGGGAATGGAGGGTTCCCCCACGCCCACCGCCCTCCCAGCCAGGAATTCCTCATTCCCAATCTCCCACCCATCGCTGCCCTCTGGCAGTGGGAGCCATTCCCTGTGTCCTGTCCCTCCATCCCCTGTCCCCAGTCCTTCTGCAGCTCTCCTGGAGCCCCTTCAGGCCCTGGCAGGGGCTCTGAGCTCTCCCTGGAGCTTTTCTGTCTCCAGGCTGGCACTTCCAGTTTTCCCGGCCTGGCTCCATGGATTTCCCGGCAGGATTCCCACAGGGACACTGGTGCCAGTGCCTCTCCTGCCTGAGCAGCAGCGGAGCCACGGAGGTGCCACGGAGCCTGGCGGCTGCTGCTCCCCTCACGGCCTTGCCAGAGCCCCCAGTTCACCCAGGGTTCCACCTGGAACACCCTAAAACCCTCCCGACACCGCCAGCGTGGGGCTTTCCCTGCCACAGTCCCCAGATCCCACCGCGCCTCTTCCCCGCACAGCTGACGGAGTTTGGCGACACCGACCCCCGGTGAAATTCGGGAAAAGCGAAATCAATCCAGCAATGGGGACAAGCCCGCAGCTTTCCCGCAGGTGAGCGGCAAAGCCGAGGCGCGTCCGGCTCCCTGTGCTCGGGGAGGGGTGGGTGGCCCCGGGGCGATGCGCGGAGGCTGCTCCGGGAAGGAGGGAAGGGAGGAACGGGACACGAGTCCCCCCGGGGCCACGATGAGCTCGGTCCCCGTGCGGCGCAGGGACAAGGAGGCAGCGGGGAGCGGCGGGGCCGGGCCGGGGCCGGTGCCTCCCGGGACCCCGGCGCTTCTCCAGGTTACAGCGCGCTCGGCACCGGCTCCCGCGGCTCCTCCTGCGGCTTTCACGGCGCGCAAAGGCGCTCGGCGGAGCGGCGGAGCCCGGAGCGGCGCAAGGAGGTACCTGCGGAGCCTCGGGGGAGCCGGACCGGACCGTCCCGGGAGCCGGGCGGGCGCTCAGTGGCGGCGGCGGGGCCGTGATGTCACGGCAGGAGGGAGAGGAGGACGGGGAGGAAGGGGCGGCCCGATGCGGCCGTGCCCAGCACACGCCCGGCCCAGGGGGCTCCGGCGGGACTCGGGGGCGCTCGGGGCCCCCCCGGGCCGGGCACGGAGCCGGTACCGGGTGAGCACCGGTGTTTCAGCACCTGCGGCCGGCGGACAGCACTGCTCCGCCGCGTCCCCGCGCCCCGGAGCATCCCCGGGGATCCCCCGGCGGAGCCCCCCGAGGGGCTTCGCTCCCGCGTCTCTCCCGCAAAGCAAACAGGGACATATGGGATTCAATCATAAATCCACCTTCGCTTTTATTACATCGATTTCATTTATTTTGGGTGCTGAACAAATAGAAGGCGGCCCCCGGGGTGGCGGCTGGGCCCGGCGGGGACTCCCCGGTGTGCTCCAGGCGAGGCACCAGCACAGATGGCCCCTTCTTGGAAGATTAAAAAAACCCCAACGTTGTAAAGGTTTCAAGTAAAATATTTGAAGAGCAAATATTAGCCAGCGAGGAGCCCATCGCCATGGCCCTCCGCGCCCGGCCCCGCGAGTCATCCGGCGTTATTTGCACCCCGGTCCCGGCCCCCGCGCTCCGCGCTGCTGCCCGCCTTTGGAAAATACCATATGCTCCGAATTACATATTAACCACGGCCCTGCGGGGCCCGGGCCCGGCCCCGGCCCCCGGGGAGCCGCCGCGCCGCCCCCCCGCCGCCCGCGGGGCGCCCCGGCTGTCCCGCACCCCGGAGCGGGGCTCGGGCTGCCGGCGGCGCGGGGAGCGCCGGCACCCGGGGCTGCTTCCCCCCGGTCCGCGCCGGCCGCCCGGACCCCCCCCGCTCCGCCGCGGCCGTGGGGGAGCCCCGGCGGAGCCCCCGGGGCGGGCGAGCCCCGTGCGTAACGCGGCCGCGGGCAGCGAGGCGCGGGGCTCGGCACCGGGCCGGGGGGGCCCAGGGCCGCCCCTGTCCCCCTGTCCCCGGGCCCGGGCGGGGGGCGGCGCGGGGGGCTCCGGGCCGGCCCCGGAGCGGCGGGGCTGCCCCCGGGGCCGTGCGCGCCGGGACCGGGCGCGCCGGGCTCTGGTGCGCACAGCCCCCGCCCGCTCCCCGCCGCTCCCGGGCCGGCCCCGCGGTGCCCCGGCGGCGGGAGGAGCCCCCGGAGCCGCTCGGAGCTCGGAGGGGCCGGGGGAGCCCCGCGGGGCCGGGGGGAGGCGGCGGCGGCGGGCGCAGGGCGCGGGTGCCCGGCGCGGCTCGGGCGCGGCGGCTGCCCCGGCCCCGGGCACCGGAACCGGGACGGGGAAAGGCGGGAGGGGAGCGGGGAGAGCGGGGACGGGGACAGGGGAAGGGGAGATGTGGAGCGGGGAGGATGCGGGGAGGGGGAAGAGAGATGGACACGGGGGAGCAGAGGTGATGGAGGGACGGTGAAAGGGAGAGGCGGAGACGCGGAGAGACGGAGCCGGGGAGGCGGAGGAGAAACGGGCCCGGGAGAGGCGGAGAGGCGCAGATGGAGAGGGATGAAACGGAGAGGAGAGGGGAGGAGATGAGGAGGAGAGGGGGGACAGGTGTTGGGACGTGGAGAGGCGATGATCTGGAGAGGGAGAGACGTGGAAACGTCAGGACACAGAGAGGTGAAAAGGCAGAGATGGAGAAATGCTAAAATGGAGAGATGGAGAGTTGGACACAGAGTCATGGAGACATGGAAAGGTGGAGAGGTGAAGGTGCGAAGAGATGAGGGAGAGGGGGAAATCGGAGAGGTGGAGAGGTGTGGAGGTGTAATCAGGGAGCTTGGAGAGGTGCGAAGGCAGAGGTGGAGACATTTGGGGACATGGAGAGGTGGGGACAGAGCTCTGGAGAGGTGCAGGGAAGACCCAGAGCTGCATTTGTGCCCCTGTGAGCTCTCCCCGCTCCTCAGGGAAGAGTCTCTGCAGGGACTCCGAGGCTGCTGAGCGCCCCAGGGACAGCGTGGGGCCGCTTCCCCTGGAGAGGCCGGGCCGCGGGGCTGTCCCCGGGGCTGCCGGCCCGCGGTGCCCTGCCCCGGTGGCCGGGAATGCCAGGCAGTGACCGGGAATGCCGGCCGGTGGCCGGGAATGCCAGGCGGTGGCCGGGAATGCCAGGCGGTGACCGGGAATGCCGGCCGGTGGCCGGGAATGCCAGGCGGTGGCCGGGAATGCCAGCACAGCGCTGGGGCTGGCGGGGACCCGAGTGTCCCCTGCTGCCAGCGCCGGTCATCCCAGCTGGGGCCGGGAGGGAGGAAAGGGAGGGAGGAGAGGAGAGGAGAGAAGGAGGAAAGGAAGGAAAGAACGGAAAGAAAGGAAAAAGGAAAGAAAGGAAAGAAAGGAAAGAAAAGAAAGAAAGGAATGAAGGAACGAAGGAATGAAGGACCCGGTCCCCGCTGTCCCGGGCAGGATCAGGATCAGGGCCGTGTCGGGGACACCGGGGGCTGCGGAGGGGAGCACAGAGCTCCGGTGTCCCGGGAAAGGCGCTCACGGCAGCAGCTCAGCCGGGGAGCCGGGGTGTCGCCCAGGGCTCGGCGGGAGTTTGCCGGGCACAGGGATCCAGCTGAGCAGAGCCGCCACCTTCACCTTTATTATATCCCTCTCCATTTTCATCTGCGTCTTCATTTCTCTTTCCATCTTTACTTTTGCCTCCGTATTTGTGGCTGTCTCAAGTCTCCATCTCCATCTGTGTCGCTTTTTTCCTTTTGTGCTCTGCTTCCATCTCTGCTTCCTCTCCATCCCTGCCTTTATCTCCATCCCATCTTCTCCTCCACTCCCGGACCATCCCCGTCTCCATTCCCAGTCCCATTCCCAGCCTCACCCCCATTCCTATCCCATTGATCCCATCCCATCTCGCTCCCGGTGTCTCCGGGCTGTTCAGGGGGCGGAACCGGGAGCAGCCCGTGCAGACCGGGCCGTGCTCGGGGCAGGTCCGCTCCCCCCGGGGCTCCAGCGCCCCGTCCCCGAGCCCACCGGCGGTGCCCACAGCGATTGTGCCCTCGGGTGTCGCTCCCGGGAGGGGGTGCAGAGCCCTGGCCGGGGCCGGGGACAGCGGGTCCTTGTCCCCATCGCCCGCTGGCACCGGGACCGGAGTGTGCCGGGCATCGGGAGCTGGGAGGGGACACAGAGAGGGACCCGCGGGGACAGCGGGGGAGGAGCTGGGAGGCAGGAGGGGACCTGCTCCGGCAGAGGGGTGACAGCAGCGGGGCTGGGAAAGGGACAGGGGTGGCACGGGACAGCAGGGACACGGGAACAGGGGGGAACAGGGACACGGAGTGGCACAGGGACACAGGTATGGACACGGGAACAGGGACACAGAGGGACACGGGAACAGAGAGGGACAGGGGAACAGGGACAGAGAGTGGCACAGGAACAGAGAGGGACTCGGGAACAGGGACAGGGATGGACACGGGAACAGGGCCACAGAGTGACACGGGGACAGAGAGGGACAGGGACAGGGAGGGACACGGGAACAGGGACACAGAGGGACACAGGGACAAAGAGGGACACGGGAACAGGGACAGAGAGTAGCACAGAAAACAGAGAGGGACACGGGAACAGGGATAGAGAGGGACACAGGGACAGAGAGGGACACGGGAACAGGAACACAGAGTGGCACAGGGACAGGGAAAGGGAGGGACACGGGAACAGGGACAGGGAGAGGGTGGAGCAAGGATCTGGAGGGGACGGAGCACGGGCACAGAGGGGGTGGAACAGGGACCTGGAGGGACAAGGGAAGTGGAGCCCCCATCCCACGGGGGGCATCAGAGCCCCCATCCCCATCCCACGGGGGGCATCAGAGCCCCCATCCCGCGGGGGCATCAGAGTCCCCATACCCATCCCACGGGGGGCACCAGAGCCCCCATCCCCATCCCACGGGGGGCATCAGAGCCCCCATCCCACGGCTCTGGATATCTGGAAAATCCCATTCTTTTCTCCTGCAGAAAGCACGGGTGGAAGTTAAAAGCCCAGATGACTCAGCCCACCAAGAAAACGGAGTCTATCCCCACGTTCCCACCTACAATTTCAGTTCCTTTTCCATCAAAATGATGATTATTAAAGGATTTGGGCTAAAAGAGGCAATTTGGGGGCTTGTAGGTGTCCTCCCCATCATCTCTGGTGGGATGCAGGCGCAGGATGGGACAGAGATATGGCAGGCCCAGAAATCCCATGGACCACGATAACGGAGCTGCTTTTCCAGGTTTTTGGGCAGAGATTTCCTGCCCCAAAAAAGGGGCTAAGTATTAAAATCGGGGAGAAACCAAAAAAATGTAATACACTGTGATCAAAAGGCTGGAGCAGGGAGATCCGAAGGGATGGAAGGTTGTGGCAGGTAGGGAGGGAGGGAAGAGGATTCCTCGTGGATTGGGATGGATTGGGAGACTCTGGCACAGCCGGGGCAGGGAAATCCTGGAGTGAGACCACCGGGAGCCTCGGAAAAGGGGAAAGGGGCGGGGGCTGCAGCGGGACCGGCTGGGGAGACAAACCCCGGGGTGAGAACAGACAGGAAAACATCAGGAACGCGGCAAAAAAAACCAAAAGCCCCAAAAAACCCAACCCACAGGGTGGGAAAAGGCGCCGTGCCCAGCGGGAGACACCGGCGGGGCGGATTCCCGTGGGCTCCGGTCCCCCCAGGAGCGCTCTGATCCCCCCGGTATGTGCTCCAAGCCCCCCGGGGGGTTCACCTGCGGGGCCCGGGGCCCGGTGTGCGTTCCCATCCATCCCCCGCGTTCCCTCCGTGGCCACCCCAGTGACCCCCGCCACCCGCGCGTGGCACGGCTCCGCTCGGGGCCGGCGGAGGTGACACCGGGACACCGGGGACGGCACCCGGAGCATCCCGAGGGGCGGCGGGACCCGCAGCCGGTGAGCCCCGGTCCCCCCGCTCCGGTGGGCAGTACCAGCGTCCCCTGAGGGTCCGGGCTGGCAGCGGGAGGCTCCGGTAGCCCGGGGGATCACCGGGGGGGTCGGGGGGGGGGCTGCACTGGGGGATCCCTCGGGCCCTGGGGAAATGTGCCGGGCCGTGCCGGGCCGGTCTGGGGTACCCCTGGTGTGCCCCCCCCCCCCCCAACTCCGGGACCCTCACCCCCGGTGTGCCCCCAGTGTAACACCCCCACCCCCGGTGTAACCTCCACCTCCGGGACCCTCACCCCCGGTGTGACCCCGGTGTAACACCCCCCCACTCCCGGGACCTCCATCTCCGGTGTGCCCCTGGTCTGCCCCCCCCGCCCCCGGTGTAACCCTCCCCCGACCTCCGGGACCCCCACCCCCGGTGTGACCCCGGTGTGCCCCCCCCGCCCCCGGTGTAACCTCCACCTCCGGGACCCCCACACCCGGTGTGTCCCCGGTGTAACCCCCCCCTCGACCTCTGGGACCCTCACCCCCGGTGTGCCCCCCCCATCCCCGGGACCCCCGCCCGGCCCCGCCGCTGCCGGAATGGGCGTGTCCCCGCCAAGCCCCGCCCATCAGTGACGGAAGGGGGCGTGTCCCGCGTTGGCCCCGCCCCCGGCGCGGCGCGAGGCCACGTGCGCGCGCGCGGGCGGCCTTTGCCGACGTGTCCCTGGCGCCGCGCGCCCCGGAAGTCCCGGCCCCCCCTCCCGCGCGCGCCGGGGCCGGGCGGGGCCGCCGGGGGCGCGACGCTCACGCGCCGCGCGCCGCCATTGGCCGGGGCGCCGCGGGGCGGGGCGGCGCGCGCGGCGGCAGCGGCCGCCCGTTGGCCGCCGGCCGCGCCGGGGGGCGGAGCCGCGCGGAGGCCCCGCCCCCGGCCCGGTGAGGCCCCGCCCCCGGCCAGGCCCCGCCCCCCGGTCCCTTCCGCGCTCGCCCCGGGCCCCGCCGCGCTCCCGCCGCCCGTCCCGGCCCGGCCCGACCCGACCCGGCCCCGCCATGGCCTCCGCGGCCAACCCCGGCCCGCCCGCCGCCGCGCCGCCGCCCGTCGTCCAGCGCGGCATCGTCAAGATGGTAAGGGCTGCGCCCGCCGCTCCCCGCACCGGCCCCGCGCCTCGCCGCCGACCGGGGAGCCCCGTGTCCCGCACGCTCCTCCGCGGCCCCGCTCCGCTCGCCGCCTGCTGCCCGCTGAGCGGCAGCCCGTCCGCTCCCCGCCCGGTGCCCGGCTCCCCAGCCCGGTGCCCGGCTCCCCAGCCCGGTGCAGCCCGTCCGGTGCTCCCGGGCCCCGTGCGGCGGCAGTTGCCGGTCCGTTACCGCCCGCAGCCCCGGCACCTCGCGCTGCACCGGGGATCCCCCTGCAGCCCGCCTCCCCCGCGCCGTCGGGCACCGGGCACCGCGCGGTCCCGCCGCCCCGGTGCCGTCCCGGAGCAACTTTGGGTCCCGGGACCGGAGCCGGTGGTCCCGCTCCGTTCCGGCCCCGGAGCCCCGAGGGGCGCGGAGCAGCGGCCTCGCAGCGCCACCGGCAGCGGGGCCGTGCCGGGGGCTCCCCACGTGCTCCGCTCGCCGCCCTTCCCGGGGCATCCCCGCGGGGCGGGACCGGAGCCCCGAGCCCCGGTCGGGGGGCTCCGGGGTCCCGGGAAGGGTCCCGGGTCCCCACGTGTGCCGGCAGCGGGGCGAAGGTCGGGTTCAGTCCCGGGCGCCGTGTCCCCGTCCCGTGTCCCCGTCCCGTGTCCCCGTCCCGTGTCCCCGTCCCGTGTCTTTTCCCGCTCCCATCCCGCCGCAGCCCGTTCCCCGCGGTGTCCCCGAGCTCCCCAGAGCCCCGTGCCCGGGTGGGTCTGGGGGTCTTGGCTGACCCCTTCACCCCGACCTGTTCCCGGGGTGTCACTGGAGGCTGTGGCCGTGCTGGGGACAGGGCTGGGGACACCGGGGGGGCATCCTGGAAGTCTGGGGACGCGTGACAGGGATTTGGGATGGATCCCAGAGGTTTGGGATGGCCGCTGGGGGTCTGTGGTGGGACACGGGGGTTTGGGGACACCGGGGGTTTGGGGACACCGGGGGTTTGGGACACCGGGGGTTTGGGGACACCGCAGGTCCGGTCTGGCACCATCCCCGTGCTGTGTGTCACCCGTGACGGAGGATCTGCTGCTGCCACCCTGCCCTGCCTCCTGCCCAGCCCGCAGATTTTGGGGTGCTCAGGACAGCCCTCAGCTGCATCCGCGGGGCTGTGGCTGCACAGTAGGATTTTGGAGAGGATTTTGGGGTCTGCTGGCGGGGAGGAAGCTGTGCCTGTGCCCCATGCCCGGGATGTGCTCTGTGGTCCCCTTCCAGGCCAACCAGCCCAAAATTCCCTGGGACAGGGGCGTCCCTGGCTCTCTGTGCTGCCAGCACCAGCTCTGCTGTGGTTGAGTCACAGCTCCGAGGTTTTTGGGGTTTTTTGCACCTTCCTGTTGCAATCAATCACTGTGAGACTACGGGGTTTGAGAGCAGGAGTTTGGCAGCAGGATGGGGATGAAGAGCAGGAATTTTCCTCCCACTCCTGTCAGGATTTTTAACCCTCCGTGCCCCACAGGGGCAGCTCTGGATTCTGGATGTGCCCGTGGGATTTCGGTGCCCGGAGCCGCCCTGGCAGCAGAGCTGGGGCTGTGCTCCCCGTGTGCCCGTGCTGCTTCCAGGCTGGATTTAGCCTGGTTTAAGCCCAGATTTCTCTGCTGGAGCCCCCAGTGGGACAGGTGGGCCCAGGGGTGACCTGCTGGCAG